TAGAGACTACAGGGAAGACTTAGATTAAGCGTACACTTGACTTCATGTAGAGACTACAGGGAAGACTTAGATTAAGCGTACACTTGACTTCATGTAGAGACTACAGGGAAGAGTTAGATTAAGTGTACACTTGACTTCATGTAGAGACTACAGGGAAGACTTAGATTAAGTGTACACTTGACTTCATGTAGAGACTACAGGGAAGACTTAGATTAAGTGTACACTTGATTTCATGTAGAGACTACAGGGAAGACTTAGATTAAGCAGTACACTTGATGTCATGTAGTGTGGGTGGGGTTTTGCATATTTGCCTTTTAGGCACTACCAGCTGAACTGCATCCTGTATTTTATTTGTATTTTTGAATGCGTAGTGATGGTGAACTTTTTTTTTATGTGCTCATGATACATGTCTTCTAAATAGCACTGTGCATATGTAGGATTTTGCAAAAACTATGATTACATGTATCATTCTTTTTATTATGCTTTTTTAGAGATCTGTCTAACCATCCCCTGCTAAAATGTATAGGACCTATGTTGATAGTCTTTATAATTCATTATATTTGCTTTTTAGAAGCAAATAGTTACATCTTTTGTTTTTTTATTTTAGGTTAATTTAAAAAATGTATCAAAAGTGATGGGTTAATGGTTTTTTTTGAAGTAAATAGGTGTTAATAAGTATATGTGTTACATCTGTTTATCAGGATTTGAGGTTTTCCAGATAAGTGTTTTTTTTCCTTAGTATTGTCAGGATTTTAATAAAGGTAGAAGTATATCTTTACTAATCTTTAAGGAACATGTGTACCTTAGCTTAACTCATTTCTGTACAGATGTAATACATTATAATGAACTCCTGCAGCTGTGCCTGTCACTGTTCCTCCTTCATCCCAGATTTGTGGGTTTTTTTATCCCTTTTATCTGATCTGAAAGATTATTTTACCTGTGCCTAAAATAGGAATATACATCTACAATGGGAGCCTTTCGAACCACAGTCTTGTGCCATTTGCTTTAGCTCCTTAGAGTCTCCTAATCCTTACCTCCTCCCTTTTCCCTCCCAACTGCCTTTTGGGTCATTCCTACTAGAAATTGTCATAGGTGGTTTCTAGAGAATTGAGGTTTTATTTTCATGTGGTATTATTAACTATCCAATATAATAAGTAAAATTTGAGTATCACACTGTTGTAATAAAATGGGGGATATCAAATTAACCATTTGTTTTTTATCAAAAGCTTATGTATTTTGTTTATTTTCCGTCAGTACATTTTATCAATAGGTATATGCTTTTCCAACTTGAATACATTATTATTATTATACATTGTTATTAATACTTTATCATGGTTAAAACTTCAAGTGAATTGTGATTTCAAATGGGTTTGTCATAGTTGGTAAAATGTTGAATTTTATTCAGTGAAATGATCATTGCCATCTGACGCGGCTAGATCCAGTCAAATCACTTCATACAGTTGAGTAATGATATAGCCTATGTTTAGCACTATTACCTGTAACAAGTTTCACCCATTTTTTTAATGATACATTAGTTTATATTAAACATACAGGTTTTACTTTACAAGGGCTTGATGTTAAATTTGTTAATACCCTGGTTTTCTGAGTACTAGCTATTGTTTTTAAAGCTTAGTAATGGTATAGTATGTCCACCTCCCCAGTAGGTGTGTGCTGTTGTTCCCGACTCAACTACTGGGCTGCCCCTCTGTGTTTGAAAAGTCTCACTGTGTAGCTTTGGCTGTCCTCTTTGTATCGGCCAGCATGGACTCAACCAATAGAGAGTTGCCAGCTTCTATCTCCTGAGTGCTGGCATTAAAGATGTACGCCACACAACAGCCTTCTGCCTCCCTTTTGTGCAGTGGAAATAGTTATCTGAATTTTTTTAAAAAGTTACATGATAGCGGGTTAGAATCCAGCTATAAGTTATTTCAAACATAGTATGTCTTCACTTATATATCAGCTAAATTGACTTAATAATTTCAGACTTACATTTCCCTAAATTGCCCTTAAATTCACTTTAGACAGTGTTCTTTCCTTGTTTGTTTTTCGAGACAGGGTGTAGCTTTGGAGCCTATCCTGGTACTCACTCTGTAGACCAGGTTGACTTTGAACTCACAGAGATCCACCTGCCTCTGCCTCCCAAGTGCTGGGATTAAAGTCATGCACCACTAACGCCTGGCTCCTTGTGTGTTTTTTTTTTTTGTATGCATGTATTTAATTCTTGCACATAGAAAAAAGTTTTTTTTTCTTGCTTTGAAACATACTGATGTCTTTGGGAGAGCTCATGTAAAGTTGTGCTTACTACTTTAGAAGTCACTCATTGAAAATTCTTTATCAGAGGTCACTTTCTCTCAGAAGCCATGTACATTATTTAATGGTTCATTGTTAATTATTTGTTGTAGTAAAGTGAACATGTGTTCATCTCATTTTTCATAATTTAATAATGTTTTGATTTTTTAAAAATTAGTCACTTTATTGGTGCTTTGCTTGCCATGTTTGTTTGTGTGAGAGTGTCAAATCCCTGGAACTGGAGTTATAGATGTGAGCTGCCATGTGGATGCTGGATCCCCTGGAAGAGCAGCCATGCTCTGAACCTCTGAGTTGTCTCTCCACCCCCCCCCCTTTTTTTTTTTTTAGACAGGGTTTCTCTGTGTAGCCCTGGCTGTTCTGGAACTTGGCTTTGTAGACCAGGCTGCCTCAAACTCAGATATCCTCCTGCCTCTGCCTCTCAAGTGCTGGGATTAAAGGTGTATACCTCCACTGCCCAGCCCATGTTTTAGTATTTTTATCTTTTTGTTTGTACATGTGTACCAAGAATTTATTGGTGTTTAGACTGGTTATTGAAATAGGTGATATTTAAGTGTCTGATTTAAATAAATGTATGTTCAGGAAGCTTATTGCTTGTGTGACATAGAAATATTACCTCCCTGAATTGTCCTTTGTTACATTTCAAAAATCCTTGCAAAATTTGTGTCTTACAACATAAGTTGATTATACTCCCCCCCCCCCCGTCTTCGCCTCCTTTCTCTCCACCTGTGTTGGGGGTCAAACACGGGACTTTATAAATGCTAGGCAAGGAATCCACAGACTGTACCCTCAGCCCTAATTTCTCTACTTAATAGTCTTATGGTCTCTCATAACTCATACGGTCACATGCAGATCTCAAACCAAGGATATGAATGCAGAATAATTTAACAGCATTTTATGTGGTATTATGGTATGTTCACTACCGTTCAGATTTGTTAAAGATTACCTTACTGAACCATGCTCAGGAACAAGTTTCCTACTGTGATGCTCTTAATGCATTGAAGCTACTAGAGCCTGAGAGGGCTGAGGGTCAAGTTTAGACTTGTAGTTTTGTTCTTCTAGGGCAGTGGGCCTCATCCTTCCTATGCTGCATCCCTTTAGTATGGTCCTCATGCTGTGGTGACACCCAGCATACTGCTGCTACTTCATAACTAACTCTGCTGCTCTTAAGAATCATAATGTAGCCGGGCGTTGGTGGTGCACACTTTTAATCCCAGCACTCAGGAGGCATAGGCATAGGGAAGAGATGTCTGTGAATTCCAGACCAGCCTGGTCTACAGAGCTAGTTCTAGGACAGGCTCCAAAGCCACAGAGAAACCCTGTCTTGGAAAAAAAAAATCAAAATGTAAATACCTGGCACAACCCAAAGGTTGAGAATGGCTGATAGCACCTTTTAGGAGACAGAGAGGTGTTAAGACCTTTACTACAGGACAGGATATAATCTGTACATTTTGTGATTTAGGACTTGGTTTGTGAATCTGAGCCATGAATTTTTAATGGATAATGGAAAAGTTAAACTCAAAGAATCAATGCTTGTTGATTATGATAAAAATAAAATCCTGATGTTGTCCTAGTATATCAGGATATTTACTGTCGTGTTTCCTAAAGTACTTGGTTTGCAATGAAGAAGGAACATTGCATGCACTGACACTATGCCACTGCAGTGGTATAGATTTTATAATGTGACAAAAGCTTGGTCTTTGAGACTTGCTGGTAATTTAGGACTTCAGGTTTTTGTTCTGTTTGTCTGAGACCAGGTTTCTGGACTTCCTTTTAAACTAGATCAGTCCTGGACAAACTGATCAATCATATAGTGGCCACAAATTCTTATTTTTGAAAAAAAGATCATTGGGATTTTCATTAAAGTTAGTTTAGGAAAAGAAGTTTAAAGGCATACCTACCCTTTTCTATTCTCTGTATATTACCAAACCATAGTGCTGTGTGGAGTAAGTCTGCCTGTGAAAATCCAAGTGTCGGTAACACTGAAGGTATAGGCTGCCCTGTTTTGAACATTTGGATGTCACGAAGTCACTAGCATTTTACCAGATGCTTTATATAATGAGCATTGTATTTTCTTCTATAATCTGGGGTCGCCATGAGAGCAGAAGGAATTTCTGTGATATCTGAAGTTAGCTGGTTGATAGCAGAAGTGAATTTGTGGCTAAGGATTTCCAACTCTGAATTTCAACCATTTCTTCAGAGTTCATGATAGAAACCTGAATTGGCTGCTAGTTAAAATCTTGATCCAGAATGAAAGACAATTTTTAGTGGCTTTTACATTTAAACCACTGGTAATGGAGGTATTTGACAGTTGTAATAAAAAAATAGGAGCTATTGATTTAGAAAAATGAAGGTGTGTCATTTTGAATATTTTTAGTAGCATTATGCATCATACAACGAACCCTTATGCTATTAGGAGATGGTGCAGTCAGTTATCTATACAGTGTTGTTCATTTGACCTCTTCTAATGAGTAGTTTGCAGAGAAAGAAGTGGAAATTAGTTGGTTTAATTAATATTTTTTAAATAAAATGTCTCATTGTTATAGACTTCCTTTGTTTTTTTTTTTGCCTTCTGTTTTGTTTATTATTTTGCTATGTTCTTGGAGTCTGAAATGATATAATCAATGTTATGCAGCAATAGCAAACAGTTCGTGTCTATATGTCTAACTTTTAATTAACTTTATGTCCCTCAGGTAAAAAGAACATACTCTCATGGTACTTACAGAGCTGGCCCCATGCGACAGGTAAGCTTGGTGGGAGCCGTTGATGAAGAAGTGGGGGATTTCTTCCCGGAGTTCCTGGACATGTTGGAGGAGTCACCATTCTTAAAAGTAAGAGGACGTCTCAGCATTCTAATTGTGCATGTTGTAGTTGATACGGATGAATAGCTGTTTAGGATTAGCTTTATTTTATTTAAATCTGAAGGAGAAGGAAGGAAGTTGTAATCTTGTGCTATGTATGCATGCATGTAGTTTCTCAGTCTTAATTGTATGGTAGAGTTAAAGGGTAAACCAGCAAATAACATTGCTTATTACTGCCACCTGGTTGTTTTTGTAGACTAAGTACAAGAGGGTTTAGGATGTGCAGAAAGGATGCCCATTAAATGTTTTAAGAAGGAAGGTGTGGTGGCTTATGCTCCATTGTAAGATTATTCTAATCAAATTCCATTTTATATATTTTTTAAAAAATTTATTCATTATTGTTATGTGGGGTGGATTGGGGCACATATGTGCCATGAGGTGCATGTCAGCTTTGTGCCCCCCTCCTATCTTTTTTATTTTATTTCTTTTTTTCACATTTGCATGAGTTGTGGGGATTGAACTCAGGTCACTCGTTTTTTGTGTGCCAAGCTCTTACTGCTGAGCTGTCTTTCAGGCTCTCCCTTTTAGTTTTGAAACAGTTGCTGCATTCTCACTATGGGTTTCTTAGGTAGTTAATTTTTTTTTTATAAGGAGAATTAGAGTTGTTGTTATTTTTTTAAAATTATCAGTCTGTTCCATTTGTTGACTTTCAGGTCACTTCTTATTTTTTCTTTTGAGATTATAATATAATTACATTATTTGCCCCTTTTCTTTCCCACCCCACCCACATGTCCCTCCTTGTAGTAGTATTGGAAGATAATTTTGAAGATAATTAATTTGTGTAATTATTTGTGTCTAGTGTACGTTGCCGTGGGGAACACTATCTAGTCTAAAATTAGAGAGTCGGAAAGACAGTGATGATGGTCCCATCATGTGGGTGCGTCCAGGAGAGCAGATGATCCCTGTGGCTGATATGCCAAAGTCACCCTTCAAAAGGAAAAGGTTTGTTGTACACAGCTTTATTAGTGGGGTGTGTGTGTGTGTGTGTGTGTGTGTGTGTGTGTGTCTGTTGCAGAGGAAGGAGACATTTATAGCATAAGTGGAAGAAAATTCCCAAAATATGCCATACATTAATATACTTGGTTATAAAACATCCACAATAAATGAGGCATGAGAAATAGCAAACCAGAGTAAATTACAACTAGGAGTGGAGAGAAATGCAACCCACCTTATGGGTGGACAGGAAGTAGCACAAGGAGAAACGGGAAGTCCACGGTCTCCCGGATTGGAGAAGGATGGTAGACCTTCCACTGGTGTTTTCATTTCACTTGGACTCTTACTCCTAACACTGGAGAGAATGCATTTATATTTTAAAAAGAAGAAACTGAGAAAGGGAGTTAAAGAGTACTGAGAGTTACTGAAAATTACCATGAGACTCAAATAGAGCTGGATTGTGGTACATGCCTTTAATCCTAGTACTCAGGAGGCAGAGGCAGGAGGATCTCTTGCTGAGTTCCAGGACACTCAGGGCTACATAGAGAAACTCTCTCCAAAAAACCAAAGCCAAAAACCAAAACAAACAAAACCTTAAATAGGTTGTTGGAAGAAGATAAAACTTATAAATAGATCTGAATATATTTACACTTAGTGGAGAAAATAATGTTGTAATTAATTGTTGGTAGTCTACTTTAAACAAACCAGAGGCAGAGCTCCTAAAAACCATGTAGCAGATTAACTGACAAGCAGTACAGTGCCACATGAAACTTAGGACCTGAAAGACATTTTCCTAGCAAGGCCGGAACAAACCGACCCAGCCACCCAGGGGTAGAGCTGTCTGGGGGAGAATAGGTTTCAATAGCAAAGTCTAAAACAGTTATTGGCTGGATTGAAATGTGGCAAGGAGATCTCCCAAACTGATGAGATCGTGTACAAGTCCAGTAGAAAACAGTCACTTGGCAGGTAAGTTTTATTTAATAGCTGGGGTTGGTTTCTGTTCATTATTTTGTCAACAATAAAAAAAAAAGATTACAGACTTACAGGCTTATGAAGTAAGCCTTTTATATATTGTTTATAAAAGAGTAAGCAGTGACAGTTTTGTGAAAGTAACATCTAACTGTGATTTCTTACCCTTTGTAAGATCTCTTCTTGAGAAATAACACAGAAAGCTAGTATGTAGGGATGTTAATTGTGGCACTGTTTGCAGTAAGAAATTTAATTGTGTCTGAATGTCCACCATTAGGGAATGATTGAGTATATTTCATATTTTTTTGTAAAAAATAATGGTAAAATACTCTAGATCTGGAAGGGTATTTGTATTGGTTACTTTTTAGGTTGCCATGACAATCTCTTGACAGCAATTTGAAGGACGAGGCTGTGTGTGTTATGTGCTGTGAACTAAATGTTTTGAGAGGAGTGCCCACCCACCACAGCAGCCGAACATGAGGCATTTGCTCATCTTCCAGGCACATCAGGAACACTGGAATGCCAGTGCTCTTTGGGCATTCCCTTTGGTGGAATGGCACAACTTGCATTCAGGGGAGGTCTTCCTTCCTCAGTTAAGTCTCTCTGGAAGTTCCCTCAAGGACAAACCTATGTGATTACTCATCCAGCCAATGTGACAAGATTAAACATTACAATATCCATGGCACTTGAAGAGAGCAAAATGTAGGAGATCAGTGTAGAGGAAAAAGGTCAAAAATGAGAGCAAAATTCCCATACTTTATCAGGTGGGTGCTACTTAGAGATTGACCCCAGTGACCCATGGTTTCGTCTACAGTCATCTGGCCAGTGGGACCTGCACAGATAGCCTATATCATGAGAAATAATGCTGGCACATTTATGAAACAAAGTTATAAAGGTGCTCACGTACCGGACCAAACAAGGAACAGAGGGCCCACAAGATAAGACCAAATGATTCCCCCTCTAGCTGCTGTAAAAGAAGGCCTACTGCATTTCAGCTCTGTGGCTCCTTTGCTAGGCTTGCTGTAGTGTGTTTCAATCAGTTCTCTTTGTGGTTTTAGTCCTTCAAAGTGCTCTTCCTGTTCCTATCTCTGGCTTTCCAGAAGACTCATTCCACACTGTAACCAGGAATATATCTAATATGATTATTTGAGACAGGGTCTTTTATTTATATATCCCGAACTGGCCTTGAATTTGAGATTCTCCTGTCTGAATCTCCTAAGTCTGGGATTACAGACATGCATTGCCATTGCCTGTCTTTTTGCTTTTATGGAAAAAACTGCCTGTGCATATGTATTCGTGTTGACAGTGTGTTGGCTCATGCATGTGATCCTAGTACTCAGGAAGTTTAGGCAGGTAGATTACTGTACAAAGGGGTCAGTTTGGGCAATATAGTGAATTCAAAGTTACAAAAGGAACTCTGGCTCAAAAAGCACTGTGTATGATCTTAGGTAGACATGGTTAACACAGAAACCACAGCTGGTCAGAGTGTACTAAATAAGGTGGAGAGGTTGGGGGTAGATCTGGAAGGAGTTATAGGGAAGATTAGGAGATGCATATGATCAAAAACATATTTTATGCACCTGTGATCTGAAAGAATTATTAAAATATATTTTAAAGCTGTGTGCATGGAGAAAAAGTAGCATAAATGTGCACTAAGTTAACTTTGTGATCATTGAATTGGAGGTGCTGTGGGAGAGTGATTTTAATGGTTATATGGATTATTATAAGCAACAAAACAGGGTCTGGAGAGATGGTTCAGTAGTTAAGAGCACTTATTACTCTTGTAAACCCAGGTTCCATTTCCAGCACCCACATGGTGGCTCACAACCATCCAAGGCCTTCGTCTGACCTCTGAAGGCATGAAGGCTCACTCATGATGTACTGCATATATGCAGGCAAAACATTCACGTATATGAAATGAATAAATCTAAAACAGAACCAAAACAACGGGACAAAATGTCATTGAGTAAATGGGAGGGACTGCAGGGACTGTTGGGCTTGTTTTATGGTATCTACTGCTTAAGAAATAATGGAATCAAGGAGTTAATTTCTAAGTTGGTAACAATTGTAAAATTGTGTTTCTTGGAACTTATTATTTTCTCTTTTTTCAAAGATTACTTAAAACATTTTTTGCCCCCCAGACAGGGTTTCTCTGTGGCCTTGGAACCTGTCCTGGAACTAGCTCTTTTAAACCAGGCTGGTCTTCAACTCACAAAGATCCGCCTGCCTCTGCCTCTCTGCCTCTCTGCCTCTCTGCCTCTGCCTCTGCCTCCTCTTGAGTGCTGGGATCAATGGAGTGCGCCGCCGCCACTTGGCTTACTTAAAATTGTTTTTAATTATGTGTTTTGGTTTGGGCTTGTGTGTGTGTGTGTGCACGTGCGTACGTGCGTGCGTGCGTGCGTGCGTGCGTGTGTGTGTGTGTGTGTGTGTGTGTGTGTGTGTGTGTGTGTGTAAACTGAACTCTGGTCCTCAGCAGGAGCTGTCCTGGCTTTGAACTGTTACACCATCTCTCTAGCCTTCTCTCAATGCTTGCTTCAGGGTGATGGTTGTTGTTGTTATTATTTTGAGACAGGGTCCTGGGACACACTATTTAGACCAGAGTGGCCTTGAACTCAGAGATTCGCCTGCCTCAACTTCTTGAGTGCTGGGACTAAAGGTGTGCCTCACTACATCTGGCTTATTTCAGGATCTTAAACAACTTTGATCAGAAATTCTGTTGCCAGAATAATATAGACAGAAACTTCTACATATAATTTAGAAGGGCTCACCAATCCCTCAAGGAGGTTCTGTGTACGTCAAGGTTTGGAGCCCTTGATACATGTGGTGCTTTCATGGCTGCTGCAGTCCCTGTGGTAACAGCACACCGTGCTGCTGTGTTGAGGGATCTGAATGTGATGTCAGCTTGAAATGCAGCTTTCCTACAGAAAGCAACAGCATGATCTAACTTTCTGACACAGATAGAATATTAATCACAAAGTGCAAAGCAGTCTGGCAGGATGAGCGCAGGGATGCACAAAGCAGGCAGTAGTAGAGTGGGGAGGATGTGTGAGGAGAGGAGGGACAGACTATGGGATCTAGACTAGCAAAAACACATTGCAGAGGAGGAGAGCCATGGCTTTGGCTAGTGTTGGTTTCACCCCATTCCCCATTCTGTAGACTAACTAGACATACCTCTGCATTGTGTGAGGATACGTGAGTAGCAGGTTCTGTGTGCTTGTGAATTCTAGAAGATGAGTGAACAAGACAGCCAGTGGAAGACAGCTATCTTGCAAAAAGAGACCCAAAGGCTTTCTTTCTGCCTCCAGTAAAATGTTTTGTGGAGCCAATGCCTAGGTCTTCTGTTAACTGTGTGTGTGTGGGTCTTTTCTGCTAATTTATGTTTTTATCTTTCTTTGCAATTCTCCTGAGAGTAGTAGCCTCATCTCATATAGTTTCCTTTACTAGTCTCAATACCTAGATAGTACCTGGCCTAAAGCTTGTATCATATGAATAGTGAATCAATATATTTAAAAATATATCTGTTAGCGAGGTGGTGGTGGCATACTTAATCCCTGCATTCAGGAGGCAGAGGCAGGTGGCAACCTGTTCTACAGAGTGAATTCCAGGACAGCCAGAGCTGTTACCCTGAGAAACCCTATCTCAAAAAACCAAAAAGAAAAAGAAAAACTGTTAATTCTAGAAGTATGTGTCTTGTTAAGTAAGTGCGCAGTCTCATACAAAGCCCCAAACTCCAGGGCTGCCACTTGTGTGAAAGGGACTTGGCGTGTATGTTTTTTGTTTGCCTTTATTCATTTGAAATGAGACCTCTCCTTTTGTCTGAAATTATGTGGCTATGAAAGGTCTGGTAAGGGAACAAGCCTCAGTATTTAAATGCAAATCTCTTTTAAAAAACAGAACTACCAATGAAATAAAAAACCTTCAGTATCTACCTCGAACCAGTGAGCCCCGGGAGATGCTGTTTGAAGACAGGACGAGAGCTCATGCGGATCACATAGGACAAGGCTTTGAGCGACAGACGACAGCTGCCGTTGGAGTGCTGAAGGCTGTGCACTGTGGACATAGGTGCATAGAACTTCTGTGTTTATTCTATTCTTAGTTTATGTGCCTGCATACTTTCCCTGAGAGCACATGTGCAGTGTCTGCTGAGGCCTGCAGAGGGCATCCCAGGCCCTGGAGCTGTGTGACGAGTTCCCACATGGGCGCTGGAAATGGACCTGAGTCCTCTGGAAGAGCAGCCACCACTCTTAACTACTGAACCATTGCCCCAGCCCCCACGATTGCTCTGTGGGTGATGGTTATGCTAGGGCTTGAACTTAGCATCTTGAACATAATAACTACTGTTATTTTTTCTTTTTTTGAGACAGGGTATTACTATGTCGCAGACCTTGTGTAAATGTATTAATTGAGACAACATGGTTCCGCAAGTGCACACTGCTTGGTCGTGGCCTCCTTTAGTTGTCTCTGTTAGGCTAGACCGAGTTAGACTTTTCTTACATATTATGTTGATTGGAATCTCACTTCAAAATTTATTTTGAGTATCTTTTGTAAAGATGTATTTATATATTTCTAATTGAAGAATTGAAAATTTTCACAATTTATGTAAGAAATGTAATGTCTCCAGTGAAGAATATGAGTATTGTAATGAACATCTCTTAATTTATTCAAATAAAACACAGCAAGAGCCACGTAGGAGTTGTATGCATCAGCACTGTTATATAGAATCTTTCCCATCTAATACCTACTAGGCTTAACCCTATTTACATGTGGAATCCTTTGAGATTGGGTGTGTTCAGGTAGACAGTTATCTTCTATGGAATAAGGAAGGAAGGCTGTCCCGAAACTCACTCTGTAGACCAGGCTGGCCTCGAACTCACAGAGATCTGCCTGCCTCTGCCTCCTAAGTGCTACCACCACCCGGCTAAATGTTCTTTTTTTATGGGACACAGAACATTTCCAGTTACTCTTCCATGACTTACCCTCTTCATTCCATAGTCTTCTGCCTCCCAGCCTCTGACACCCTGTGCTTTGCCAAGAGCCTTTTAGCTTACTTGTAGAAATGAGAACATGTGCTGTGTGTCTTTCTATGCTTGCTTCAACCTTTTTTATGTAGCATCTGCTATTTTAACTCAATATAAAGAAAAATTGAACTTCAATTTAAAATGAGATATTTAGTTCTTATGGTTTGTAATTACTGATAATTACTACAGTGATACTAAAGTAAATAAAGTTGTTAGTCTGTCTAGATTGAAACTCATAATGTAAACTCTTGATTTAAATATATGAAGTCTTTTTCTTTATGATCAAAAACAAAATCTTCTTACAAATAAACTAGTTTTGTTTGAATATTAGGGCTTAACAGAATGAAACATTAATGGAAGATTCCTTTATTATCACCCTCCTTCTTTATAGGCCTGATCAACCTCGAATAACCAAAGATGTAATTTGTTTTCATGCAGAAGATTTCTTAGAAGTAGTTCAACGAATGCAATTAGATTTACATGAACCTCCACTGTCTCAGGTAAAACTTAGTGATTATCAGTTTTCATTTAGATTTTGTTGTGCAAAAGACTTAGCTATATTCCTATCTCTTTTTTAGTGTGTCCAGTGGGTTGATGATGCAAAACTTAATCAGCTGAGGAGAGAAGGCATCCGCTATGCCAGGATTCAGCTGTGTGATAATGACATTTATTTTATTCCGAGGAATGTTGTTCATCAGTTCAAGACAGTTTCTGCTGTATGCAGCTTGGCATGGCATGTGCGACTTAAATTATACCACGCAGAGGAGGACACTTGTCGCAGCACGGTTTCTCATGAGACGTGCACCTCATCAGGACCCACATCATCTGCTCTTGGATCTCACACTGACAACAGAGTTTGTGCTGTGAACCAAGCCTCATCAGACTCTGTGTGTTCAGACAAACTTCCTTCTAAACATGAATCACAACAGATTAAACATGAACATATTGCATCTGTAAGAATCAAGGAAGAACCTGTGAAAGTAAATTTACCTGAAAAGACTAGAACACCGAATAATACAGAAGGCAAGAACATTAAGGCAAAGTTGGATCATGTGCAGTTTTCAGATTTTCAGATTGATATGGAGTCTAAATTTAAAAACAGTAACAAAGACTTAAAGGAAGAATTGTGTCCTGGAAGTCTCACTAATATAGTTGATACAAGGCAGCATGGTTCCATACATTCAAATCAAGATAAAAACGATGATGACAGCTTGTGCTAAATTTGTACATTGCATTTAAAATTCCTATTGAAAAATAATTTGTAATAATGATTCATGAAATTTGAAAGCAAGCCTAGGAATTCTCTCAAGTCTGTTACAGAATATAGTTTATGTAGCTTTGTAACATTCCTCAGTGCCTGTCCATAACTGTGAGGTTCAAGCGCTTAGGACCAGATGCACTGTAAACAATGCAGATTAGACACAAGGGCGTCTTCTCAGAAAGTCATTGGACTTGGAGCTGCAGGCTTCAAATGGAGCTGACAGAATCATATAAGTATATTTTGTAATATGAGCCAGAATTCTTTTTTGACAATTTAAGGTTTTTCCATAGAGCTTATTTATACTGACTTTTTTGTTTTTCATTTTAAATGTGTCAGCACTGTAGTGTAAATAGCTTTTAAAAATCTTTTTAGTGTGATTTATATTGAAATGTGAGCCACTTAATAAAGGTTCATAATAATAAATGCTTTCTGTTGAGTCTGCAAAAACAGACAATTCAGTTTAATTGATATATTATGTTTCTGTTAATATATACATGTGGGGAGGTAACGGAGTGAAAATGTGTGTGTTCAAATCTAGTAAATATTTAAAATTTCCATACTGTACAAGCCTTCAAAAAACCAGAATTCGGTTACAAAAGCATATGCATATATATTTTGTGTGTTTGTGCGTATCATGTATGCGTGTATTTGGGAATGGGTATATATACATATACACATATACACACATATATTGTTTTGCACAATTTTTTAAATTGATGGAGATATGAACACTCTTAGTGCTACTTCCTGGAATACATCCTAAAATATTTATGTTCAACATTAAGAAAATAATAGTTTTAGAAGCTGGGAAGAAACTAAATATGTTGATGATTTCTATCCTTCTAATAAATGAAGCGATGTGGCCAGATTTTTAGCCCTAGTGTAATTTTATTTGTTGTGTAAGTAATAAGCTTAGAAAATTTTCTTACTAATAAGCACCTGTATGTTTAATAATAGCTGAGTAAAAAATTGACATGCAGAGAGTTTAATTATGAGCAATTAAAAGTCTTCTTTTATATGTTTCCATATTACAAAACCAGAGTTTTAAAATGGGGCAATGGCAGTAACTCAGCTGCCATATACAGATGTAACTAACAAAACACTGTCAGCCCATCTTTCTCAGGACCCTAACCCCAGCCTGCAAGGCAAATGTCAGGTGTAGCATTCCTAAAGATGCTCTAGGAAGTTCACTGTGTAGGAAATAGGATGACCAGTGACACAAGGTGAAAGACATCTGCAGTTTCAGTCTGCCACTCCTGGAATTAAAGTTAAGTACTGGATGTGTGTGGATGGAAGGAGCTCCAATCACTGCACACTTAGTATTCACTGTATTATTCTGGGCCCCTGTCTTGATTGGTGGCTCTCAGTTTGCTTTCCCTGTGCTGCAGCCATTGCCTTTTGGTAGACAGTTATTTCCATCCAGTGGGTTCCATTTTCACCTCATTTTTGTTAAGCCCTCATGCTTCTAAGTGGTGAGAATCCACTTAGAAAAATGTTTTTCACCAGACCTGATGAAAATCAGCAACAGTGAGACGTCTCCTGACTTAATAAGTAGATAGAGAAATAAAATAGGAAATCTTGGTGGCTTGTAGGAACTCATCATGTAGTGGAGATGTTTCATGGAATAGAGAAGTTAAAAATCACAACAGTGTAAATAGGGGTTTTGTTTTATACGTTACTAGCTGTCTTGTCTTTCACTGAACTCATTTAAGCCACTTTAAGCTAGATTTAGGGTTCTTCACCATCTTTCTGGGAACAAAAGTTCTTAATGAGTATTAAGAAATAGGAAGGAATGTGGTTAAAATTCAGGTTTTAAATTGAGGGTGATATATTTAACACAGTATGTTTTATTTCCAGTCACATATATGTAGACACACTGAGGTCATACTGTAAGAAAATGCTGTTCCTTACTGGCTTAGCTTAAAGGAAGGCATGTCTGAACCAGTATAGTTGTTGCTTTTAGGTGTAGTTTCTTATGTAACCTGCAGTCAGTCATCCCTAATTCAAAGATGTAATTGATTTGTCAAATGCATACATCTCTATGAAGGTGAGGTGTGTGAAACCAACAGGCTCAAGACCTCAAGACAAAGCCTTACAGACTTGAACTATGTTTATGGCCCTGGTCTTCCGGGTTATTTTTACAAATCATCCTCAGATGCCATCTGAAACCCTGTTGACTACCTTTGTTCCACACAGATAGCTATTTTAATACTGCATGTTAATGTTTTAGTTAGTACACTCCCATTCTCCACGGGAATAAAGATTCTTATTCCTTGACTACCTTTGTTCCACACAGATAGCTATTTTAATACTGCATGTTAATGTTTTAGTTAGTACACTCCCATTCTCCACGGGAATAAAGATTCTTATTTCCAATATCTTGGACCAGAACAATAAAGCACTTAAGATACAGTTTTAATAAGGTCATATATTATACAGAGTCATTGTTGTATGTTAAGTGATGTGAAGACCTTCACATGAAAACGTAGGTACCTCAGTGGTATTTGCGCTCTCTGTGTGTGTGAGAGTGTGAGTGTGTGTGTGAGTGTGTGTGTGTGTGTGTGTGTATTCTCCCCTTTTTTTCTCATTCTATTTATATCTTCTTAGTTAAGTAGTTACATCCCATACTCAGGTTAGTTATCAAAAGAATTGAACATTTTTGATATTTAGTTGCAAATTTACATAAAGCCATATATTGATTATCTATCTTCCTTATGACTTTAATGATCAGGTTGGTTTAGGACAACACTGTGTATTTTATGTATGTGTGCATTTCTGTGTCAACTTGTTTGGAATATGTTTGTTTCCAAAGTGCGTGGGGTAGGAAATTGAGGAAAGATTTTCTTAGGTTAAATGTTTAATAAATTTATTAATATACTCAAAATAAGATTTTTTTCTAAATTCAGTTTTATGGCAGATAAGGTTTTTGTTGTGTTTTTTTGTAAATAATAAATTAGCATTGTTTGATAAGCTTTGAGTTTTGGGGGTAGAGAGGGACGTTTATTGATATATAAAGCAATTATTTACACTTAGCCAAGGTACAGATTTGTTTTGGCATTTGAGAGGCTGTTTTCCTTGTCTTCCACCTTTCAATAAATACTGAGATGGATAATCACCAATATTCTTACCTTTGTTTTGTAATTATTTTCTTAAAGCTGACATTATATTTTAGTCTCAGACTCTTTGAAAGTTCCTATTTCTGTCTTCAGATTGTAAAATCTTGAAGGTGATTCTAACCTGAAAGTCTCCTTAATCTACCTAAAGGCCAATAATAAACATTAAATTGTCCCAGTAGAAGAAACATCGAGGTCATTTCAGATCTTCATAGGTGTGGGTTCTGGAGTGCACAGTTAAGTCTCTCCCTGACCACACATCTCCATTTCAGGGAGGGGATGGAATTGCCACTCTTTTCAGAAAAGTTCTAGGCTATGAAGACGTGACATGCTGAATTTTTATACTTGTCAGAGTGGTAGAAAGGCTCCTATTCTTTCTACAACCCAGTTATTAGTACTTTGATATGTAAACAATTTAACTGGCTTTTAAAATGCATTGTTTATTTAATGAAAAAAACGATGCTTGACCTGGCTCTGAGGGCTGACTTCAGATAGTGACTAGGATGACAGTGGGGAGAACTTTGATGCCCTTTTTGGTTTTGCTGGCTGGCCTGCACTCTGTTAAGTGTCTTGGAGAACTGCAAGTTGAACTGGTGGATTACTGTACCCCAGAGCCACAGTCCCAGCTCTCAGATACTCTTTCAGCCTAGTAGTCTAGGCTGGGTTTGCAGCCCAGGCAGGCCTTGATCTTGTGGCCCTCAGGCCTTAGTCTGCTAAGGAACTGGATTCCAGGTCTGGGCCACCACACCCAACTTTTCCTAGACACATGTTCAGTTCTGTGGATTGTTGTATGCTGCAGATGGAGATACAGAATATAAAACGCAGAGCCCGAAAGAGATACTTTTCCTGTTATGAGCAGTAAGAGACTGCGGTAAGAGATGTGTATACTGATTTTTGAAGAGCACGGAAGTAGAAGGAAGTAGTCTTGCATTTCAGGCATTTATCTTTCTAGCTCATCCCGAACGTCACACTCAGCTAAAGAATGTGAATGTGCTGAGAGAAATATAAATTAAAAGCGAAAGGTTTCAGTTTCTTCTCAGAATACTACAGCTTTATTTTAGGTGTATGGTCTTGGCCTGCCTGTGTTATCTATGCCATTCTGTGTGCAGTGACCATGGAGGCCAGAAGAGGGCTTTGCATTCCCTGGAAGAGTGGTTCTCAATCTTCCTAAGTGCTGTATGGCCCATTAATTCCTCATGTTGTGGTGACTCCATCCATAAAACTATTTTCATTGCTACTTGGTAAGTATTATTTTGCTACTGTTGTGAATCATAATATAAAATCTGTGTTTTCTGATGGTCTTAGATGACCCCTGTGAAAGGGTCATCTGATCCCCCCAAAGGAGTTTCAACCCACAAACCTAGGACTAGGGTTACAGCCAGTTGTATACTGTCATGTAGTTGCTGGGACTTGAACCCAGGTCCTCTGGAAGAGCAACCATTCCTCTTAAACACTGAGCCATCTCTGCAGCCCACTTGTGTGTTTCTTCACTGTGATTTGCCTGACATTATTATGAAAATACAAGAACTGTAATTCCAAAATTAATTTGGACAGTTTTGTCCATCCTCACAGATAATTTTTTTTTTTGAGACAGGGTTTCTCTGTGGCTTTGGAGGCTGTCCTGGAACTAGCTCTTGTAGACCAGGCTGGTCTCGAACTTGCAGAGATCTGCCTGCCTCTGCCTCTTGAGTGCCACATCTTATGAGAAACATCTTTGGTATCTTCAGAAACATCCTTTTTTTTTGAGTTAGGCTTTTGTTAATTCTTGGTCTCTTCAGTGAAATTCTTGGAAATCTGTGTCTTCATTTCCTCATTTCATTGTACATTTTTCTTTAATCTTCATTCTTAATCCCTCAGCAGGAATGGTGTTTCCAAAGGTTGCCATTTACTGCCAGATCCACTCATCCATGAGATTCTCGAGACTTTTGTTTAATCCTGCAGCACCTAGCTCTTCCTTCCTTCCTTCCTTCCTTCCTTCCTTCCTTCCTTCCTTCCTTCCTTCCTTCCTTCCTTCCTTCCTTCTTTTGGCCCTTTTAGGCGGAGTCTTGTTATGGATCCCAGGCTGACCTCAAACTCATCCTCCTCCTACATTTGTCCTCTAAGTGCCAGGATACAGGCATACAGGAGCCATGCCAAGCTTTAGGAGATGCAATTTTTTCCCCTCCAGACAGGGTTTCTCTGTGTAGTTTTGGAGCCTGTCCTGGAACTCACTCAGTAGACCAGGCTGGCCTTGAACTCAGAGATCCGCCTGCCTCTGCCTCCCGAGTGCTGGGATTACAGGCATGCGCCACCTCCACCTGTCTCTCTCTCTCTCTCTCTCTCTCTCTCTCTCTCTCTCTCTCTCTCTCTCTCTCTCTCTCCTCCCTCCCTCCCTCCCTCCCTCCCTCCCTCCCTCCCTCCCTCCCTCCCTCCCTCCCTCCCTCCCTCCCTCCCTCTCTCTCTCTCTCTCTCTCTCTCTCTCTCTCTCTCTCTCTCTCCTTTGTTGTGGTAGTGGTGATGGGTTTTCGGTGTTTGGAACGGTTCCTTTGCTTCCCTGCCTCTTTAAATAAGGTAGTCACCATGGTCTTTCCTTTAGTCTCCAAGCTCGATTCTTCAAGTTACCTTTCTGACTGCAGAATTTTCAGTTAGCCTGGTTTTTCACTAGTTTCCTTGTTATCCTCAAGCATTAGCTGCCCCTTGTTTGGTCATTGACATCTCTATCTGCATTGTCACCTCTCAGGAAATCAATTTTTCTTTTTCCCTGTGCTAATGAGATGCCTGCAGAAATGTTGTCAGTTCATACAGCGTGATAGTCATAGTGGATGTACACTTCACCTGGACTCTTCAAATAGTCGAAAGCGTTCCAGGGTGCCCAGTCCTCTTCATTTCTGCTTTGCCCCAGATTAACCTGAGATAGGATTTTTATTCTGTTTAGAAACATCCCATGGTGGTTCCTTTTCTAAAGGTAAAGACTGTACATTTAGCAAGAGCCTTTATGATACAGCTGTTTCTACCTAGCAGCATATATTACAGTATTTTCCATCTGATGTGGTCAGCTTTTGGCCTCACCAAATAAATGATGGTGTCCAGTCATCTCAAGCTACCCCTACGTGATTGGTTTTTAGACTGGTTTTCATACCCAGATCTTCAGATGTTATGTTATCCTATATAAATACTTGTATATAACTTGTGTATATAATTTATAAACAACTTCTAGGTTATAATAAATAGCTAATATAAATGCCATGTAAAATAGTTTTCAGGGATAATGTCTATATACATGTTTAGTGCAGACGAAGTATCTTTCCCATTTTTTTTTCAGTCAATAGTTGGTTGGACCTGTGGGCAAGGAACTCTTGTGGCTATGGAGAGCTAACCATGTCCTTTATGTTACACATTTTGCTGGGGAAGTGCTGGAACATAATAACATAGTGACATTTGTATTTCTGATGTCAGAGGCTTGGGTAAAGCTCACTGGTGCCCCTTTGATAGTGCAGGTTTGACATACTTAGTGATGGTTGTGTTGGACTCTTGCTGAACCACAAACAAAAAGTCATTAAGTTTCTTTGTCTTCTCAAACTTGCCACCTCAATAAATGTTTGAGGAAACAGAAGAATAAATGAAGGCTCCTGTAATTTAAAACCTCAGTTCCTGCATATAATATAATTGCAGGACGTCAACAGAAGAGTGGAGAGTTAGATAAGCAAGTGCTGTGGAGACACCAAGTTTGTGCTCTGTGCTGTTGTCTTGTGTAACGTTGAAACTAGCTGTGTAGGGCCCCAGTTGGAAGAGAGGAGTTAATGTGTTAGACGAACTTGTGAAAGTCATTTCCCCACTTTTAGCTAGTTTTTCTGAAGATACGAAAGTTCTTACGAATTGCAGCAACCCCCCCCCACACACACACACACAGGGTCTCATTATGTAGCCCTGGCTATCCTGGAATTCGCTTTGCTATGTGACCAGGTTGTCTTGAAAGCCAGAGTGTGGGAACACCAGACCTTGAGCAGAGACCCACTTCCCCTTCTGCCTGGGAGTAGGCAGCTGTAAGACAATGTTTACTAAAAACAATACAATGCCCGGGGCAATAAGTTCCTGGAAAAGGCCTGCCCACAGAGCCACCCTGACCTCGACCTTGTCCAAAGACTAACCACCTCTTCTGCCACGCCCAGATCAGTTTCTGGGGTCAGGGCTGAACCAGCCAGGGGAGAGGAGAGAGCAGAAGCTTCTCTGGTGGGAGCCTTTCTTAGGAAGTTTTCTTGAACCTTTTTGGGGCCTGCTTAAAGTTTTCTTTACACCGTTGAACAAGTCTCTGTGTTGTCAATCCCCGACACCCTCCGCACGTTCTCGGACACAGGCCGCACAGCAGACGCGACACCAGAGTTCCTTCTGCCTCTTCTTCCTAGATGCTGGGATTAGATCTGCTCATCACCCCAGGACAGACTTTCTCCGTGTAGCCCTGGCTGGTCTGGAACTCGCTCTGTAGACCAAGCTGGCCTTGAACTCGAGATCCATCTGCCTCTGCCTCCTGAGTGCTGGGATTAAAGGCGTGTGCCACCATGTGGCAGCATTAGATTCTTAACTGCCTCACATGATTAAAATGGCAGTCATATTAGCAGCATTTAAATATAATTGAGGCAGAATTAAACTAGCTTTAAGTCTTAATCATTCTGCTTATACTTTTGTAATTTTTCCTACTGATAGTTTTAGCAACAGAAAAATCGGTAATACGGAATCATGACAACTGCAGTTTTTCTTTCTTGCTGGTATCCATTCTGTTTTAGGAGTGGAGCAAGATTAAAAGTGAACATTTTCAGTCAGTCCTGTAAAGCTACCTTGTGGAGATATTAGTAACACACGTGTAGAACTATAGCTGTGGTTTGATACAGGTGTGTTAAAAGAACAGGTGTGTATAGCTTCGAGGAAATGGCTTCCCTTAAGTTTGTACTCTTACTGCACATGAGAGGTAACCCCTGTTATGTGGATTGGTGAAAGGCGAAACAGACCATGACAAATCTTAGCACACTGTCTGCCTTGTTTTAGTCGCATTGTTAGTGTTCTGGGCCACGCTAACCCTTTCACACTGTTTCCGTTACGTTTGCTTCTAGTTTGAGGCAGAGGGGAAGGCGGCAGTGAGTAAACATTTAGAACGTCATGTCACACATTACCCACTGACAACGGACATGATTACATATAGATGGTAGGCAGTGGCAGAAGACTGCCTACAGAGAGAAGGTATGTCTAACAAACTCAGGGCAAGCAAAACAGTAAACAGGGTAAGGCTCAGGAGAACATGTGCTCTTTGATGGAGAACGCTTTTCTATCCGTTTGTAATTCTTACCTTCTACACTGTTCCTGAGAACACAGCCAATGTTTACCTCACTGTTAGTTTTACCATCATGAGTCAGTGTTCCTCTCTGTCCTGTCCTCGCAGACACTGTAGTTTTGTGCTTATTCTGTGAACAGGAAATCGTTAAATTCCTTTGGGAGTTTGTAAATGCTACAAAGATTGACCATTTCATACTTTTCTGTGACTCAGGAGCTTGGGGATGTGCCTGCCCTTCTCTGGATGAAGGTGATTATGTCCTGTCCTTTCTCAGATGTTCACTAGTTAACTTTACGTCTACTTATTTGCTGAATTGTAAAAAATAGTGGAAAACAGGACCAAATTTGTAAGGCTAGTAAACTTAAAAGAACAGTAAACTTTTTCATGGTATCAACCTTCTGACCCCCTGACCTCGTCACCTATGTGTTAGGATATGTTCATAGCTGTCTTGGGACACGTGTGTGCTGCAGGTTGGACAGATCTCTCCTGGGTATTTGAGAACTCTCCATTGGTGAGCTCTTCTTGCTTCACAGAGCTAGCTGGGGGAAACATGTTCATAGATCATGACTTACATTCATGGAGATGTTTGCTCACAAATTGTTTTTACACAGAAATTATACCTTTTGCTCAGACTAAAATAGTGCCATCCCTAAGTTAGGCATCTATCATAACTTAGAAGATAATGGCCTCAGGAAGAACTTCTAATGTTTGGTACTTGAGGCAGTGTTTATGCATCTTATAAAAAGGAACCTAGAAAGACTTTTTTTCTGTAATATTATTTATTTTTCCCTTCTACAAGCATCCTTTTTTCTTTTTGGTTTTGGTTTTTCGAGACAAGGTTTCTCTGTATAACAGACCTGGCTGTCCTGAATTCTCTCTGTAGACCATGCTGGCCTCAAACTCCCAGAGATCTGCTTGCCTCTGCCTCCTGAGTGTTACGATTAAGAGCGTGTGCCACGGCTGCCCAGCTGCACTTTTTTAGTTTCTCATGACTTAACGTTGAGATGTACGGTTTGTCATTCGGGTACACACTCATTTACTGTGCCGTGTTAGGTGGCTGTGCAGGGAGAGCCTGTCCATTGAGAAGCTGCTGAAGTTTTAGCCTCGTGTGTAGTAGGTTGGTTATTGCATTACCTTCTGCAGATAATTCTTACTCATGTCTTTTCCTTCCTTGTTTAAGTTATTCTGGGAAGAAAGGCCATTACACATTTTCCCTAAGAGCTTATAGTTAAGACAGTTGCCCGAAGCCGGGTGGGGGTGGAGAGGAAGAGGCAGGCAGATCTCTGAGTTCAAGGCCAGCCTGGCCTACACAGTGAGCGCCAGTATACCCAGGGCTACATAAGTGAAACCCTGTCTAGAAAAGAGAAAGAGAAAAAGCAATTGCTCCAACAGTTTTATCTGACCCACGTGATCCTCTAGCTTGTTTATTACAATGAGAACTTCATTTGAGTTAATGATATATTCCAGAGACCAGTTTAGATTTGTTTGATCAAGCCTGGAATCTTCCCTTCCAAATACTGTTTTTATGCCTCCTATTTTTAGATTCTCAAAAGTAACACTATATGGCCAGTTAAACAAGAGGAAGATATTTGCAACTGGATTTTTTTTTAAAACTTGGTTAGCTCTTCAGTCTCAAAAGCCTAATGTAATTTAAGCTGTCTTTTTAGTATGTGGCTACTTTGTTATCTTTATTTACAAGGAAAAAAATGTATTAAAATAATCTTCAGGCATCTTGGAAGATGGCTCAGTGGAGTAAATGCTTGCTGCTGAAGTGTGAGCACCCAAGTTTGGAGACAAGTAGGTTCTGGAGCAGGAGACTTACTGCCAGTCTAGCCAACAGGCAATCTCCAAGTTTGGTGAAAGACCCTTCCTCAGAAACTGTGGTGGACAGCATTTCAGGAGGCAGCAGATGTTGACCTCTGACTTCCGTAAACATGCATGGATGCTTGCACATACCATCCACCCGCACAAAAACTCTGTATCAGCACTGAGAAAGTAAGGGTCTGTGCTTAAGACTTGAGACAGGGCCTCTGTAGCCAGGCTGGCCTCCCACTCAAGATTCTGCTCCTGCACCCAGTGTTGGGATTATAGGATGTACGCACCTTCGCACTGAGCCTAAGGTACATCAAAAATGGCCACTTTAGATTCATGACAGAGCTAAAAGTCAAAGCTACATAGGACAAATCAATCTCTTGAGGGCTGGGGAGAAGGCTCAGTGGCTGGCTCACACTGCTCTTGCAGAGGACAGAGTTGGACCTCAGTGCTCAAGTCAAGCATCTGTCACTGCAGCTCCAGACAGTTTTGACATCCCTGGCTTCTGCAAGCGCCTGCGCTTACCCGTACACACATGCACACAATTAAAACTTAACCCTAAAAGATCTTTAAAAGTACTTGGACGGTCAGCAATTCTGAGCACTAACAGAGAGGATCAGGTTTGATCCCTAGAACTGGGATGGCCTTAAGACCATCTGCAACTCCAGTTCTGGGGGACCTTGCGCTCGTTCTTTGGTCTCCCTGGGCTGCTGCATACACAAGGGCACATGGACTTATGCAAGCATTCACAGAGAGTAACACGAGTTTTATCTTCAGAGTTGAAATGCCTCACTTCTAAACTCTCCAGAAGTACTGCTACCTGGATTTCACTGGCATTGGTTAAGTATGCTGTTATGGTAGCCACACAGTTTCTCAAACCTGAACGCTTTCAGAGTGAGTAGGAAATATCATACTCATAGAGCACTATGTCTGAGACTCCAGGACAAATAGGCACTACTGGACCCTGACAGACCGGAAAGTAGACTCCCCTAACTTCAAGTGACAGGCAGCTCACTCATCCTAAGCCGTAGGAAGGGCTCACAGTGATCCTACCCCATTTAAAAATGCCACACTAGGATTCCTTCTCAGTCAGACATGAGGTTGCAGCCCTAAAATATTTTCATAACCAAGCTTTTTTCTTTGTAGCTTAGAGGATACATATTTACTTTGTGTATTCATAGCCACTGTCCACTGTCTATAACTCAGGGCTTTGCATGTACCTCAAGTCCTGACCACACACAGGGTAAGAGGCAAATGGAAAAATAAGGTCAGAAACAAGCTTTATTACACAGGGATAACAAAAGATATCAAGAACTCAAATATGGAATAATCCAGCTTTGGGTTGGCCACAAGTTCATGCCTCACCAGTCCTGCTTTACAGTGGTTTAAGACTACACTTGGACTGTCAGTCACATCTCTGGTGTTCTTGAACTTGCAAAGATCCAGAACACTGTATGAACACCGTTGAGCAGCAGCAGGAAAGACATGCACGCAGAGTCAGTCTCTCACAAAGAAGACGTTATATCCGAGCTCTGTTAAAGCTCCAGCCAGTAAGGCCCATAAAGGAATGAAGACATAGGACAGATGCATGGTAGTGAACTGCTCCAGCTTAGCACACAGTGCAAGGCAGAAGGCTAACTTAAGTAACATCGCAACGAGGTACCAGGCCTTCTTTTTAATGTTATGTGATCCATGTCGGGGGTCAAAGCTAGACTTACACCGTCCAGCCATTTTCACAATCAGCATGACGAGGAGGATAGTGTCAAATATCCAGACTGGAATAAATATGAGGAACCAGTTCCAAGGTGCCTTCTCGTCCAGTTTCAACACCAGCATGACCAGGAAGAGCAATGTGAAAAGCCAGGTGAGGAGTACTCTCTGGGCCAAGGACATTCTCATTTAAACAGTTTCAAGAGGCCGCTTCGGGGCTGAAATAAGGGAGACACACCCTAGAAAAGAAATATGGTCAGGACCTGGTAGCAGAAACCACTTCGATTCCTAATAAAGCTGGCGGCTTCCCACTTCTCAGACTTTCTAATTTAGAAAACATTCTAGCATTCAAAACCTCTTGTAGCAATCCCAACAACCATTTCTTTACACAAGCAAGTGTGAATATATGCATACTATTCTATTGTGAACTACATGTGTATAAAATCTATTTTGAATTGTGTGTGTGTGTGTGTGTCTGTGTGTCTGTGTGTGTGTACATGCAAGTGTGAGTGTCCTCGGGCTGGAGGTAGCGGGCTCACGCCACTGGAGCTGCAGTCCCATGCAGGGGAGAGCCTCCTGCAGCCGCAGTGTGTGCCGGGAATGGCCTCCAGACCTCCGTGGGGCCAGTCTGTGTTCTTAGCTGTGGGGCCATCTTCCCAGCCACTGCCGCCATTCCTTACAGCCCATCACCAGAGCACTAAGATTTTAGCAAGGACACCGAGTATGAACTTCATTCTACAGCAACGGTTTCCTTCTCAGTGCTGTCACTCAACCCAAGTCGTGACATTTACCTGCACTTCCCCGATGTCTTACCCTCTGTGCACACTATAGGTTTTCATTTAATCAAGAGATGCTAAAACAAAGCACCCGAGACCAAAGCAGTGAAAAAGGAACGGAGGTTCGTAAGGACAGAAGGGCTAATGTAAACGGTGACAACACCAAGACTGCAAAGCCGCCGCTGGCTAAGTAACACAAAGGCTCTGATAACCACATGTCCATATAATCCTTGTCTCTTACACTTTGCAGTATTTCATTGCTAACGCGGTCCACTTAAAAAACTAGGTATTTTGTCATCAATGTTTAATCAATCTATGACAAGGGGCTTTTATATCTCCATTCTCTCCAAATCTATTCTAAAATACTCACTTTAGAAACTTGCATGTGTGTGTTTGTCTGCACTGTGCAAGGGCCCACGAAGCAGAGAAAACTGTCAACTCTAAGATCCCTTCTGAATGTGAACATAAGCTGCCATCCCTGGCCACAGTCCACTGCTGCCAGTTACAGGTCTCCTGAGCCACCTGCTGGGAACTGAACTTTCCTCCTCTGGAAGAGCAGCGAGCATTTGAAATTACTGAGCCATCTCTCCATTCTCCACTTTGGTTCACAATGTAAGACTTACTGTTACGCTAGTATGTATCCTTAAATCTGGAAGGCCTAGTGCCCACTCACTGCCAGAATATTTTCAACCTCTCTTCATTTTCTCCAATGCTAACATCATTAAACAAATTCTTAAAAACTTCCATTTTCAGCCGGGACTGCATTAACTTATATCTTAGTCTAAGGTATAAATAACGCATTATATCTAAATTTCATACATGCATTTACAGACCCTTAAGACTAAGGGTAGATACAAGGGGAAATCAGAGGCTAAACTACATCCAGCCGAGTAAGGGTTAGTGGAAAGGAGGAAAAGGAAACAGCTGAGAAACACTTCCTGCAGCTATGTGGAGAAGAGAATGAAACACAAGACATGAGATTGTAGTTCTCTCCTTCCACTTACAGGTCCTGGAGATTGAACTTGGTCACCAGCCTTGGTGGCAAATACATTTACCTGCTTGCCAGCCCAAGAAGAAATATTTAGGAAAGCAGACTTCATGATAAAGTCCAGGGGAAAATGACACTTTGAAGATGAACACAGACTAGCTGTAGACGCAAACATAAGGAATGGCGCTAGAGAGGATGCAGGGGGAAACAGGAGCTGAGACCTGGAGAGATGGGGCCTGGCCCAGCCTGCTAGAGAGGATGCAGGGGGAAACAGGAGGAGCTGAGACCTGGAGAGATGGGGCCTGGCCCAGCCTGCTACCCGCACACCTCTAGGCAGCACTCTTGGGAAAGTGCACACCAGGAGTAGTTCAGTAGTTACACAGGGATGTCCTAGTGACTTTCTTCTCAGACCCATCGACTTGCAAGTGTTTAGTTTGCGATTGCTTTGGACTGCAGTATTTTGGCTCTCAGGGAGGCTTTCTTTTTTGAGACAGAATCTCAGTAGGTAACTTTGGCTTGGCTAGAACTTTGCTGATACAGACCAGGCTGGCCTTGAACTAAAAGAGCTACCCAACTTTGACTCTGCTAGAATTAACAGCACGGGGTATAAAGAACCACTCAGTCCTGGAAAGCAATTTTCTTTACTCATCTTTCCATGATGGGAGCCTTATATAGTGGAATGAGATTATTTGAAGCCGAGGTTGAGATGTGTTCAGGCTGCTTAATTAACTATATATGTTTTTAATGTTTGCTCAGTCCCAACCTCGATTTGGTCCATTTTAAGAACCTTTATGAAGACTTGTGATTGTAAGTCCCTTAAACATAACTTTTCTCTATGCCACAGGGTATGAACTTCATTTTTTTTCTCCTCCTTCAGAACAAGTACCAAGTTGTCTGCAATGATCACAGGCATTTTAGACAGGAGGTGACAGGATGCGAGAGCCTAAGTTTAGTGAGATCATACATTTCTAATTGTGGATCGAAACAAAACTCCATTGCAGGAAAATACCCCCAACAAGGGAACAGCCTAACTGATATCTGACTGACACTTAAAGGGCTGAACTACGATGGCGATACAAGATTCCAATGTTACGAAAACATCTTAATCGGGTAATAGGATTTATTTGGTTTTTACCATCGCTTTCTAAGGGGATGGTCAACGGCGCACTCCAAGGCTACCATTTGCTCAACAGATGTTTCCCACCTAAGGTGGTTATTTCTAGTACAAGGGTAGGTGAGGTTTTTGTGGTTGTTGTTCATATGCTTCCGGATCCACTGTCGAGCCTTCAGAGTTGTTTTCCTACACGGGAATCCACAGGCCTCTTACCCTGCCATCTGCAGCTAGTGGTCAGCCGTGTGCCGGGGGATTCGTCCAAGGCTCTCCCCACCCCACTCCGCGTCCCTCCTCCCGCTCCTGTCAATGGACTCTGCGCACCCAACAGGCTCACAATTCCCGCTACAAAAGCCAGGGGCCTCTCCGCTCGCAGGCTGGCCCAGGCTCGTCTGCCCTGGCACCCAAGGTGCTGCTCCACTACCCCGGGCTCGGCGTGCAGGTGCCCACGGTGTCCCGCCGGGCGAGGGTCGCCCGAGCACTGAGAGGGAGCGCCGGTGCCGGGTGGGCAAGGCCGCGCTCCTCACTCACCTGGCAGCGCGGCTGGCGGGGGACCGAGAGGACAGCGAAGGCGGGGGCTCCGCCAGCTTGGATCCTGGTTCTCGTGCACCCTCTGCCCCCCATGAAATTCGCAGCCCCTCACATGGTAATTGAGGAGAGGACGCAGTTCCGCCTCTCCAAGCCGCCGAGCAGGAGGCCTTGTCCCCCAGCTAGGGCCCCGCCCACATCCGGGTTGTTGCCGCCGCCCTCGGCCTATCCCGCAGAACGGAGCGGACGCCGGCCCGCGGGCTTAGGCCCCCTTCCCCGCGACTATTGGTCCCTGTGGCCGCCAGTAACTGACGACCTTCCCACTGCGCCCGCCTCTTACTCCCATAGGCCGGGAGAAGAGTCAGTCTAGGCTCAAGCCCGGCGTCGGCCCGCCCCCGCATCGCCTGGAGCCCCGCCCCGCTCGCTCGGCCCCCGCGACCTTCGGGCCGCGGCGCAGACTCCGTGGCGAGCCGAGGGGCGGGGCGGGGCGGCCGGGGGGGCGGTGCGCGGGCGGGGCGCGGGGGGCGGGGCGGGCGGGCAGCGCGAGGGCGGAGGCAGCGCGCCGCCGGCGGCAGGGCTGTCGCTCTTCGGGCTCCGGCGGCGGCGCTGGCCTCGGAGTCTCCGCGCGTCTCCTGGCCGCTTCCTTAGCGGCGCGGGCGGCTATGGTAAGCGCCAGGGCTCCACTCTCGGCGCCGTGCGGAGGGCGCCACGCGCCGACACCATCCCGGGGCCGTGCGGAGCGGGCGGCGGGCGGGCGGGCGGGACGGGGCGCGGGCTCCGGGGTCGGCGCGGTGCCCCCCGCCACGGGCACCCGCGCGGCGCGGCTGGATCGCGGCCCCCCCTCCCGCCGCCGGGGCGCGGAGGCTGCGGGCCGAAGCTCGGCGCGGTGTGGGCGCCCGCGCCTCCGCGCTCCGCCGGCCTGGGGTCGCGCTGTCCCCCGAGGCCGTGTGGGGGCGGCGGGTGGCCTGTCCGGGCCCACGCGAGGTCCGCTAGCGGCCGGAGGCGCGGGCTCGCGGAGCGGTCGCCCTGCGTGCTGCCGGCGCTGCCCGCGCGGAAGGGCGGCCGCCGCTCCCGCAGCCCCAGCACGCAGGAGTTGCGGGTCCCACGGCGACGGCGGAGGGGCGGCTGCCCGAGTGCTGGGCGCGGGCCTGCAGGCTTCAGGTCTGCACACACACAATGCTGTGATCTTAGGCGTGCTCACCTGGTTTCTGCCTGCCTCGCGCTGACAGCCGCCGTTCTGGTATTGTTCTGGTGTTGCGCTAACTCACCACTGTCCTGGCTAACTTCGGGGGTCATTTTGCTAAGCGTTTTATTTTTAATCCTGACAAAACCGAAGAACTGCATTAACACGTGCGACCGGGAAAGTAGAATCAGGAACAATTAATTGATCCCCCTGTGGGTTTTCCATACTTAGGTACTGCTGGATTTAGGTCTGCAATTCAGTTGTTTTGTCAGCCGTAGATGATGCTTGCTTTGATGTTTATGTGTAATACTTTTGTGATGTTTTAGTGCTTTCATCAAACATTTCTAAGGGTTCTTGCCCCTTTCCCCTTCTTCTGAGCCTTTGATTATAAACTCAGACTTGACTTTGCTAGGTAGTTTTGTAAATTCTTTTTTTCAAAACTGGACCTCCACAATCACTTTAGTTCAAGACCTAACTCCAGTTTGGCATACAGGCTGTAGATGAAAGAGAAAGAAACATGTATTCCTATGAGTTTTATGGCTCAGACTCCAGGGGAAAGGAATCCGGGAGGTCTAGGTAGACTGAGCCATGCCTGTGACCAGAAAACAAGGTGGCTCCAATACATTGTTTTCCCTTTGGAAGTGGTCAGCCTGCGGCACAGGGAAGCTGTCGAGGGCATTAATTAGTGCCAGTCTCTAGGTGTTAGGTGGGAAGGTTCTCATTTTTACCGTATTGTAGAGCATGAACATGTAAGCATTTCAGGAGCAGCTATTAATGTGGGCACTCCTGCATAGTCAGCCTGTAAATACTGTAAAGGCCAAGTTATCACCAGACAGTTTAAAAATAAAGATGACTTGAACAATTTTTTTTTTTTTTTTTTTTTTTTGGTTTTTCGAGACAGGGTTTCTCTGTATTGTTTTGGAGGCTGTCCTGGAACTCGCTCTGTAGACCAGGCTGGCCTCGAACTCACAGAGATCCTCCTGCCTCTGCCTCCCGAATGTGGGATTAAAGGCATGCGCCACCAATGCCCGGCATGCGCCACCAATGCCCGGCTTGACTTGAACAATTTTTAAGTGGAAACCTTTTGGCCAATCCATTTTATGTATAATTGTAAGTAATTTGTAATGCAAATAGCATCATTAAGAGAATTTGTGTTAATATGTTAAAAGACGAAGCTCAGAAAGTAGTTGGATTATTTATGTATTATCTCATTTAATGCAGTGACTAATTACTATTCTCCAAATCTTACAGATAAAATTTAGTTAACTAATGGCTTAAGATTTCAGTGGGTTAATTAGTTAATGGGTTCTCTTACAACCAATTTGATTACAAGGACTACATTTCAAGCCATTATGCTTAACCACTACAGTAAAGCTGGCTTAGACTTGGTATAAAGAGAGGACAGTGTTCCAAAGCGATAAACTGACTCCAAGTTCTCATTGTTGTAACGATTGCAGATCACTGTGTAATAGGCATTGTTTAATGTTGCCGAGGTCGGAGTTAGTCACTGTCACTCTTCTTAAGAGCTGGTCAAGAGGAGAGAGATTCAAACAAACGCTAACACCTCATTCTGTTGTGGGAGAATGTGTGGGATCCGGCTGACTTTATAGAGAGTTTAAAGGATAGACACCAGGGCCAGGTGTGGTAGCACATGCCTTTTTAATCCTGTTTAGCATTTGAGAGGCAGAGGCTGGGGGAAATGTCTGAATTCTAGGACAGCCAAGTCTATATAGTGACACTTTTTCTCAAACAACAACAATAAAAAATAAATAAAGTAAGGTCACCAGAGGTTGAATACCTGTTTACCGTGAATGTCAGTTTCCTTACTCGGTTAGTGGAGAGGATAGTACTTCCAAGTGGAATTAAGAGGATGGGTGGGAAGTCCTGGGAGGAGCTCTCTAAGAGCCTTAGTAACTGAAAAGTAGTTTTCGTTGTAGGTGGAGGTTTATTTTCCACCTGGTCCTGCAGTCGGTTAGCTCAAATAAACACACAAAGACTTATATTAATTAGAAACTGTTTGGCCGATGGCTCAGGCTTCTTATTGGCTAGCTCTTAATTATTGACCCATTTCTATTAAATTATGTATTGCCATGAGGATGTGGCTTACCTGTGTTGCTCTAGCATGTTACTCTTTCATGGGCTGCATGGCGTCTCCCCGTGGCTTCTCTCCCTCCTCTCCCCAGAGTTCTCCAAATCTGGAGCTCCACCTATACTGCCTGGCTACTGGCTGATCAGTGTTTTATTCATCAACCAGTAAGAGAAACATACATGTATACAGAAGAACATTCTCCATCATCTTGTCTTTTCTGTCTAAATAAAAAGAGGGGTTTTAACTTTAACATAGTAAAATTATATATAACAGTTATCAAAACAAGAACTATAGTTCACAATATTTAGTCTGTTAACATTTGACAACATTTAAAGAAAATATTTTGTCATCTGTCCTATTTTTGTGAGTCTAAAGTTTTGTGTAACTTATCTTTTATAACTAAGGAAAACCATAACTGTAACTATCTGTCTTCAACTGCATTGAAGATCTCAGAAGGATAATATATAAACTATAGATTTACAGAGACATCTCCCTGCCTGGGCAGTCACCCAAAGTTCTTCTGTATCGTTGGAGCATCCATCTTCAGCCCATAGGCCACAGTGTGTCTGGCAGACTTCTTATCGAAGCAGGAAATTTGAAACTGTCCACCTGTATTGAGAGTTTGCCAGTCATGTTTCTCTGCGTCCTGCAGAATGTCTGGCAGACTCCTCCATGAAGCAGGAGCCCTGCAGGACTCTCCCATCTTGTTTTGGCAAGTTCAGCAGTCACTTTTCTGTGGGTTCTTCAGTATACTGTCAAACAGTCCAGGCAAGAGCAGTTTCTTGCCCAAATGGCTATTTCTGTCATGTTTCTTCAATGCCCATCTTCCTCCCTGACATAATTGGTTTTGCCAGGAGCAGTTGTGTTTCCTTGTCATGAAAAACCCTAATAAACCGTTTTAAATACCATATTCTGTAGGTCTTTGAAAGGTTTGAAGAATATCTATCCAATTGAAATATGTCTCTGTATATCTAGAAAACCTAAGTTTTTACTATTATAGGTGACTATAATCTATATTTAATTATACATTACATTTTTTAAAAGAGCTGTATAAAAACAATATCTAAACAAGAATAGAAATATATATATAACAAAATTGACCTTAAATTTGTATCAATAAATCAAAATCCATACTAATACGAAGTATGCATTTCTATGTCATATTCCCCTTTTTTTCTTTAGAAGATTGACTGATCATTAACCATTTATAATCATTCTGTTTAAATGAAAATCAAACATTTATAAACAATATTTGGGAGTGCAGTTTGGGGGCACTGTGAATACCATGGGGATCCCTAGAAAACCCAGAACCCTGGGCAAGTTCTGGCTGTAGTGGTCTGAGGCTGCATGGTCTCAGCTGTCTTGGATGTTGGATCACCTGGGCCACGGCTTCAGGGGGTCTTGCTTGACCCAACCATATTAGTCTGGAAAGAATCCACAGCTTTACATTTTCTGTGGAAACAAAAGCAAAACCTCTTTTCCAAAGTAGCATGTTCTTAGACTTAAATTTTGAAGTCAAGACATTTTCAGAAAAATATATGTTGGATCAATCTAGAAGCATTTATGATCAAATGTCTTTTAGCCGCTGTTGTCTCTTCCTCAGCAGTCAAACAATTCAAAGAAAACCCAATTACACAGTATTCAAGACTCTTTGTGTATTGTCCATCTTTATGTGGCTTTTTTTTTCTTTAATTACTCTATTTTTTGTTTTTTTTGGGACAGGGTTTTTCTGTGCAACTTTGGCTGTTCTGGAATTCATTCTGTAAACCAGGATGGTCTTGAAATCACAGAGATCCACCTGCCTCTGCCTCCCAAGTGCTGGGACTAAAGGTGTGCACCACTACACTCTATTTCTTTCTTTTTTTAAAGGACTTTTCTTTATCCTTTTTCCTTTTCTCTCTCAAGCCTACACATATTTTTAAACACACTATATACCGTTTAGAGGCTTTGTTTCTCTGA